ATTTTTTCTGGAAAAGTAGCAGTTTTCTCTGGAGAAGTAGCAATTTTTTTCCGGAAAATTTTCCAACTGTAAAACTGGGTGGTGACGAAAAAGTCGGACTGCTCTAACAACAGAGCTCTTGTCCGTGCGGCTGACAGGTTTACGAGGCACTGACGGACGGGTTCAACGTGGGCGCGTCCCCGAGGGAGGAGCAGTCTGCCAAGCTGAGGCAGAAGCTGCTCGTGCTGGGCGGCAGCAAGAAGAAGAACGCGAACCCCGAGCTCAAGGTGCGTCGAGAGTCGTAGACGTCGTGTGTGCTTTACGTCACACCGAATCTTGACGCGCGAGTGTTCTTCGCCCAGGTGAGCTTCACGCCGTCCAACAAGTTCCTCACCAAGCTGATGGGCAAGTCGTCCTCGCTGACCAACCTGGCGACCACGGACGACGAGCCCGTCCGACTGTCCGCCGTCCCCAGGCACTTGTCTATCACGGCGGAGCTCGGCCCCCAGCTGAAGGTATGAGGTCACAGGTCGCGCCTCGCCGGCCACGCAGCGGGTGTGCGTCGTGGACAGTCTGAAAGCAACACGCAATAACCTTTCCGTGTGTCATCCAGGTCAAGTCGCTGTCCACGTCGGAGATCAACCGGCCGCTGGACGGTCGATCGCTCAGCCCGTCGCCGCCGAGCCGCTCGCCGAGCCCGCAGGGCCGGGGGCCCCCGGGCTCCAGGAGCCCTGCCACTCAGCGGCTCGGCAGCGGGCTGCTCGACGCCGGCTTCCTCCCGCTGGGTGAGTCTCGGGTCGAAAAACTGCGGACCGGGCGAAAAAATAGCAAAAAGTGGTCGAAATGGCCGATTTTCTGCCCCCCAGGCTCCTCGCAGCGGCCCAGCTCGTGCCACAGCTCGTTGGAGAGCCTGTCCGAGGCCGGGCCGCCCGAGGCGCTGTTCCGGTGCCCGTGGTCGTGCGAGTGCGCACTGCGCCTGCCCGCCGCCAGGATCGTGTCGCACGGCCGCGCCCACGGCGGGCCGCTGCTCCTCGCCTTCCGCGCGCACTGCGACCTCGCCCTGCCCCTGCCCGGGCCCCTCTGCGTCCAGCTGCCGGACCCCCGGCCCGACCTCGGCGGCCAGCCCCGGGAGCTGTTCGTCGACTCGCACCGCGGCGCCGTAAGCACCCCATGGTGTAGGGTTGGAAAGCCCTGGAAAGTTTCAGGAAAATTTCCAGTAAAAACGAAAAGAATTTGGGGAAAAATGAAAATTTCCCAGACTTTGGAAGTTTTTTTGTCATTTTCCGGATAATTTTGGAAATTTCCAACCCTACCATGGTGTCAATTTGGAGTAAACATTTTTGTGGCGGCATTGAACCGCCGGGTTTCCCTCCCCCACCCACGGTCATGGTCTTCCCTGTCGTGCCCACAGCTGCGCGCTTGGCTGGCCGGCTCCGCAGAGGACTGTCGTCACTGGAGGCTGCGCGTCCAGGTCTTCCCCGCCGACGTCCCCGAGGCCGCCACGGCCACGACGACGCTGCTCGTCCGCTCGCTCTCCGTGGACGCGGCCGACCTCCGGCGGGACGCGACGGCCTCGGCGGGCGACGGTGGCGCCGCCGTCGGAGACGTCGGGCCCGGCCCGGTGGAGGCCTTCCCCGTGCCAGCCTGCGCCGGCCGTCTGGCGCTGGACTTCGTCGCCCGGCCTCGCGCTCTGGACGACGCGGACCCGGTCCCGGACGCGGTCACCGCCGTCAAGCACGGCGTCTCACCCATCGTGCCCATCGTCCACGCCGCGACTGAAGCGCTGCGGTGACGGCTTTGTTTGACGCCGCTATGTGGAGATTTTGTACATATAGATGAAATGGCGACATTGTGATGACTTTAGGACCCCAAGTTACGCCAAATAGGTCGTGATTACCCTCAAATTGGAGTGATTAGGTCGTCGATGGATGATGTGAAGGACTTCAACGTGACGACTACATGCTTGGGGAGAGCCGAAGTTGACTATCTATTTATATGTTTATAGTATTAAATGCATTTGTAAAGTTACCAAACCGACAGAAACGATTAATCAAATCCCTATCTTCTCTTTTCTGCCCTCCGCTCCGCCCTGGAGGTGACGGGTGACGGCCCCGAGTACACTACTGCTCCCCTCTCTCTTTTGTAACTTTACAGCGGTACAGTAGGCATGTGTGTAAGAAGTGTCACATTCATGGTCGAGACAGTTAGGGTGATGGTAAATGAACGTTTTCCGAGACACCCCGTTAACGCCGGGAGGCGGGGCCGGCCCCTGCGACGGGCTGGGTAGGCCAGCCCGCCGAGCGGCTGTGAGGAGCCGGCAGCCCGCCCGCCCCCCTAAGCGCCAGTCCCCGTGCAGGGGCCGGCGCAAGCGTTCGCTTGAAAGCGTTCGCATCACCTCGGGGCATGTTCACGGTGACAGCGGGTCAACCCGTTATCTCTGTAGAATGGGCTTCTCAAGGAATGGGTGACATCGTTCCCCCGCATTCGCGATTCAAATGGTGTGCGGGAACACAGGCTGGCCAGCGACAGAGGGCGAGTTGTGACGCTTAAGGGCTTAAGCGCTCGCTTGGAAGGAAGCATGAAAGGATCCTCGTCCATACGCTCTCGTGTTCCATCTTTCCCCCGTTTCCATCGTTTTCCACCCTTTCCCTCCGCTTTTCATTTTCCGCCCCCTCTCGTCCGGTTGGCCGGCCTGCCCGAGTAGCTCTGTAGGCTTATCGACTAGAGAGAGGGAGAGAGGGAGGTTGCGCCCCGGATTGACCACAACGGAATGGGACGACTCTTCGCTTCGCCGAGGAGTTGGAGTATCAAGGCCAGCGGGTGAACATGCGGTCCGCGCGCGAGTGACTCGTCAAGAGCGAGGCCCATGACTATGTCGCTGTGTCGCTGAGCCCCCGCAGTCGAGCCGTGTTCTCACCACTTGTGTTCACCAACAATATGGCTTCATCCAACCGAGGGATCCAGATAGGATCCGCTTGGTTCCAACGGAAAATAAACCTCAGGCCGCAGCACAGGGGCGTCCACTTAGTAACGGAGGAAATTTTACGACAAATGCCAGAGATCGGACAGTTTTCCGTTGGCCTCTTTCACGTCCAAAGTAAGTTGTTTCAAAGACGATTCGTTCAGAGGTTATGTTTCCTCTTTCAAGGATTCGCATGCTTTTTTTTTTTTTTTTTTGACACAACCTCGAAAGCAAAGCAATGTTGCATAGCCCACGGTAGACGACGTAATTTTCATCAAAGAATAATTTCTACTTTAAAAGGTTGTTTCGAAATGTGTTCATAATGGTCTGTCTTCTCACTCATGAAAATAATTGACAGCTACCTTTTTCTCAAAATAAGAACTATGTTGTTTTGAAGTTGTAATTCTTTCAATTTTGTTTTACCCTTTCATTTCTGCTGACCAATTATCTCTTTTATAAGTAATTTTGTGCCAGTTGGTTAGAGTTTATCAATCTCTATTCATAATTATCATTGTTTACATGGTATGTTTCTGCTCGTCAATCTAAACTTATTCTGATCATCTTTTTTTTTACAGTCTTGCACACATCAGCAAGTTTAGCTTTAAATGAAAGCTGGGATCCAGATGTTCGGTATGTAAAAAATTTCATAGCATTTATAAATTTCTTATATTGCTCCAATTATTATCTTTGATCAGAGGAGCGTAGCAGTATGATGGTACCTAATGTTATTTTATTAGATTATATCTTGTAGAAAGTATTCACAATGCAGGATGTAGTAAAACTCCCATCAACATCTTGTACTGTAAAATCTGTGGATCACATAATAATACTTTGCACGTATATTTACAGGGATGACATGGAAATGATGTTGAATAAAATAGTGCCTGAGGTGAGAGCTTTTTATCTTTTTCTTTTTCTTACAATTTTGTCCTCGGCAGAGGGAATTTGCTTCAAACACAAGATTATCATTCTTTTCTTTTGAGCATTAGCTTGATGGTTAATAAAATTTAATGGTTAAATAACATGACAGCTAAAAGAATGTCTTCATATTGGTTAATTTTCTTTTGGGTGTTTTTTTTTTCTTCAGTTTTATCCTCACTCAAAATCCCATCTTTGTATATTTCATTGTAAATATATGTAAACATTTTACGCATGCTCCAAGGTGCTATGTGTTCTTATCATGGTTTAGTTTTAATGCCAGAAGTTCTTTTGGTTGAATCTTTTGATTTGAAATGTTTAGTGAGTTATCTTTGAAACTTTTGAGTGTCATTATATTGCTGAGTAGGTTTGAAAAAATGTATATATCAGTTCTAGACAAGTATAGAAATGTATGTAAATTGGAGCAAGTATCTATTTGACCATTAAATTTGTAACTTCAAGATTTTCCTTTCCTATTATATTATTATTCTAAAGATATGTTGCCTATTAATTGGCTTGTCTTATCAAAATGTGAAGTTAAATTCCCGTCCAGTCCATAATTACTACTTTGGAATTGACTGGATAGTGGGACTTACGCTGCTGTTGCTGTACACTGAACAAAATAATTCTGAATTTTTAATTAACAAATTGCTAATTCTAGCACAGGAAAATCTTAGCCACATAGTGCAGTGTAGTGATGGTTAAGCTTGACTTGAGTTTTGAAGCAATGAAACCAGTCAGGAGTAGTTTACATTTTTCGATGTTCAGCCTAACAATAACTTTTTTTTTTTTTCACTTCTGCTTTGATACAAACCATGTCAATCTAATTGGAAAGGAATGAACAACATAATATCATAATTTTCTGAGAATGAACCTAATCTATTTAATTTACAATAAAAGTTTTTATGCACTTAATTCTCACTACTAATTTCTATTTGCAGGGTTTGCCTTACCGACATTCATGTGAAGGACCTGATGACATGGTGTGTTATTTTACTCTCTTGACATTATTAGCCTTAAAGTGGTTACTGAGTAACTGTTAGTGACACCTCTTAATCAACACTTTGTCTTTTGTTTCAGCCTGCCCATGTCAAGGCATGTTTTCTGGGATCATCTTTATCCATCCCAATATCAGAGGGCAAGCTGAATGTGGGGACATGGCAAGGAATATGGCTCTGTGAACATCGTGACCATGCTGGCTCACGCAAAGTTGTGGTCACTATCAATGGTTGTCTGCGTGATTCACGAAGTCGCAGCCCTTTAAGTCCTGTTTCGCCAATGGCTTCAACTAGCAGCTAATGTTATCATGTATATTATTGTGTTCAGGCTGTCACTGTGAATGTGTGAGTTGAAATCTGCAATACAGTCATGTGGAACTATCCATCAAAAATATTTCAGAAGTGAATAGTTGGCACTTATTGATTGTGATAAGTGTCGAGTGCTGTTCAATGACTTGCAGTCCCAACTTGCCGCTAATGTCAGGGTTTATTGAGTATTGCAGCTCTTGTGTAAACAGTCATAAGTGTTGCTGAAACCTTTGTATATTCATTCCAGGAGAGTCATGTCAGTGTTCACCTCTGTGATCTATCTCACTTAAGTGTAAATTTACAAAGAGTTTTAGTACAAAGTGTGCCTAGTCAAACAATTTATGGAGTGGTGGTCGTGGGTGTGTGGAGACGTCAGTGCTTGTGTGGAATTGTGGAGGTGCACACAACCTACTTGTATGAGGCTGCTGGCGTCTTAGCATTTTCATTTCACTGAGGGAACTAGATGAAGTTTATGACATTACACTCCATTGCCTTGACACCACTTCTTTGCTCAAAATCCACTACTCCCTCCTTACTTGGATTTGAATATATTTGTGCTTAAGTTTTTCACTCTGTTTTGTACAAAGTTGTTTTTGCTGCACTCCTGTGCAGATGGGGGCAAGCGGATGTGAGCATCGAAGTCCTTGTGTTGGCCTCCCTGTAAATTTTGAGTGTGGTCTCAAAGACAATAATATTTCACCCTTATTTCTCTTTGACCTGTGTGATTAAGTTCATTACTGTAAAGGTAAGCGAGACATCTTGCTCCTTTATTGCTTTAAAGCAGCGCACAAACTTGTCTGTCTTGTAAATCGGGTTGCCATGGACCAGTTTATTAAAATGCACACTTATGACCGTTAGCCAAGTGCTTGCAAGAACAGAGTTCTCTCATTCATGCCGTTCCACTTAGAAGATGTAATACTTAACTTTTAATTTGAGGTCTAACTAGTTTTGAACCAAACAAGCAATGATTGGATGTTCTTTTGTTTCTACTATTTCATGAATTACTTTGATAGTTTATTTCAAAACAATTAAGAATCACAATCTATTCTAATTTGTTTCAAATGGTTTTAGGGGTTTTATAGTGGCTTTTGGCATTTAAAAATAACTAGTTAGGATCTGTGATTTTACTACAATTTTTGTTTGGGGGGAGGGAGGGGGTTTCTTTTGCTTTACTGATACTGTATGACTTTTTTTTTTTTGTAATAATTGTGTTTGGTTCAGAACTTTGAATAATTTTATGCCCTCAAATTAAAATATTTCTAATAACTACTACTGCAGTAATGTTTATGGTAATTGTAATGCCTTGGTCTGTGGATGAGATATACTATCAGATCCTCATATTCCCACTCTTAAATGAGCAATATTTTGAAACTAAGCAATTTGTCTGGTAACAAATGTGGTGGTTTCTTTCTGGTGTTGCTTGCTTTGACATCTAGTCGCTGTGGCATAGCTAGAATAGATTCCTCGAAGTCTCAAATATGTTTTACCTCTTCAGGGGTATGATGGCTACATAAACATCTTGTTTCTGTATGTTTAAGTATATTTGTGTGATGGCCAATTGTGGCTCATTATAGGTTTAAGCGTAAATATAGGGGGATAAAATCAAATTATTATTGTATATTTTTTTGGTTTTTGTAAGTTATTTCTTGATCTTTGAAGTGAGTGAGTGAATGATTGAATTGCAAGTTTTCCCTCAAAATATTGTATCAGATATGTTTCTTCTTCAAATGTTGATTTGTGCATATTTTTCCAAATTTGTTCTTTGTGTTAGGCATCTACAATGGGGCCTTACACAATAATAAAAATTAGAGGAGGAAAATGGCAACCTTGATGTTTACTCATAGTGCTTGATGGCATAGGACTTTGAGGTTTATACTTTGAAGCAAGCTTTCTCTTGACTTCTGAGAACAAGACCACCTATAACCTTAAGTTTTTTTCCCCTGAAGCAAAAATCTTGGAACAGCCAATGCAATGAATCTTAGAAGAAGTTTTGTGTATCATAGGGGTTCTTGGCATTTGAACCTTTTTACCATTGGAATTTTGTCTCTCTTCAAAACACACTTGCTCATCAACATATTTTTCAACTCTAAACAGGTTCTCTTTGCAGAAAAGTTTAAGTTATCAGTGTATTTGGGGCATAGAAAGCAAACCATTGGCTTAAACATTGTGCTGTAGTGAGCTGCTGTCAATGTGTTAGACCACTGATTATCAAATAGTTTTCTTTATATTCTAGTGTTATGAGTAGTTCAAGTTGCCATTCTCTCAAATCCAGGTTACATTTGTTACCCTTACTGGCATTATGTTTGGTGTTTGGGATTTATGATATTCCATACTAAGTAGAGGTCTTGTTGGTTTCATTGTATGAATGCCCTCGTAAGTCATTTTTAAGAATAATTGGTATAATTTGCTCATCCTGTGCTATACATAGCACACAACGGGTAATCTTGTTGCGACGAATGGAGAGACACTTTGTATAAACTGTTGTACATTTTTTTATGTTTTTTGACATGTAAATTGCATAGTTAGTAAGTTGCACACTGAATTTTTTTCTCGTTTTATGATTTCTGCCCAGTCTCTCAGTTAGTAATTTCCATGGCAGCAACTTTGCGCCTCTTTGTTTTGGGGGTGGCAAATCCTTTTGAATTGTATTTATTTTTGCGCTTGCATCATCTCATAAATAGGGTAAACCTGACAATCACATGAAAAATTGACCCCATTCTTAAAAATATGGAAAGCTGCTGCACCTCTGTTATAGATAAACAATGAAATATAAGACTCTAGTCAATTCAAATCAAGTTCAAGTTTTTTTTTTTTTTGTTTTTTAAAGAAACTTTGAGTGAAGCCATTCCATTTGTTTTCACTTCTATCAAGATTTATCCTATTATTTCCAATAACATTTTTAATTGTTACCCCCTGAAAGTAGGCCTATTGTTTGAGAGTTGGGACAGCCATAAATTGTTTAGTCAGTGGTTAAAATAACTCTAACGACTGAATTGTCTTGTTACAGCCCGCTGTAACAATGCTAGTTAAAATCTAGGTTTTCAAATATTGCACATCTTTTTTTCCTTTGAACTGCATAAAAAGTTGGCTGGATATCAAAATTGTCATTACTTTCTTATTTGAGAAGAAAGTGGGCATAGCCCCAGCAAAATATGTTTTCTTGAAAGAGTCAGTGTACAAAATATAAATCTGGAGTGCACTGCCTCCATTTTGCTGTGGGTGATCATGAAAGGATTGACAAAGTGACGAAGGATTCTGGAATTCTGGTAGAAATCAAATTATCAACTTTGTTATGAATAGGTAATTAGAAAGTTGTTTCTCCTGAGATTATTTCCCTCAGCAAGTCCAAGGGAAAATCTGTTGTACAACATGGACATCGTAGAAATGACAATTGTGCAATTTGCACTAGATCTAACTGAGGGTTCAGTGTTGTACCTCTCTTGTGACTTTGTCCATGTACTTATAATCGCTCACATCATTTCATGAGGAAACTGATCCCTACATTCCATTGTTTCTAGTGTGGATGGCCAGCTCTTCTCTATCTGTAATGTGTTAGGGTTCCAAAGAGATCAAAATGCGTAGATTCATTTTTACTGTACAGTGTAAGTGTTGATTTAAAATTTAACTTAAATTAACACCCACATAGTTGCTGCAGCTTTGATGTAATTGCATCATTGAGTACTGGCCCAGTGCCTTCTTTTGATGCTCATGAGAAGTAGTACCTTCTTAAAACTTTTATTCCGGCAAAAAGAAAAAACTGTTTTTGAGTGGCCTAAACTATCACTCTTACCGTTAGTCAAACAAAAAAAAAAAAGATTACTCCATTTAATTTTTTATTTGATTTCGTAGGTTTATGCTATATTACTAATTGTGAGCAACGTCTGTATTTTCCTTTCTTGTTACTCAAGAAGTGTGACATTTTTGATGCACTAGTTATTCCATAACACTCACTTTTTCTATGTGTGCTTTGTAATTTTATTTTCTAGATATTGCAATGGAAGGAATTCTCATGTGTGTTAAATCAAATGTTCCATGAACAGAAATTTCTTGGTATTTATAAGTGGATGTGTTTCCAAGTGTGAAATCATTACTCAATGCATCGACATTCTTGTGAATCATAGTCCCTCATTCCTCTCTTGTGGACTTATTATTCAATGCTATGTTATGTGATTATTCTTGGTAGTTTGCATTTTTCATTTCAATTTTTTTTATCTGTATTTATGAACTAGTTCCACCCAGAAGACCAAGTAGTTGAGATGTAACACTGGCTTTTGCTTGAAAGCTAGTGGAATGCTTTGTTGTACCAAATAGACAGATTGAGACGATCAGTATTTATTCATCCCGTTTATTTGTTAGCGGGGAGTGTGGATAATTGGTCTCACCAGTCGACATCTCCTGCCAGCCTTTGTTCAGGCGTGACGTGAGGGAAGTCTTGTGCTCTGTAAGAAATTCACCCCAAGAGCTTGAATTTTGTGGAGACTTTTTTTCAGTGTTTGTTTTCCACTTTAAATAATTTAAAACAAAGGTTATTTAATTAAAGCATCAAATTAAGACTTACCAAAGAAAAATGGGACCGGTGAAGATAGTTATTCAATTTAAGCTGCTAGGATTGCCTTTCCTAGGAATGCTGTGCTTTCTAGACTGCCATCCAAATCTATTTCCTCCCCATTAGTCTCTTGGAGGAACATCAGTCATTCCATCCAAACTTCCTTCTCTTCTTCTTCCTGCCTACTAGATTAATAAAAGGAAGCAGCAGCACAATGTTAAAGTTTATGTATAAAAACCTAAACTACGTTATAATGTTAATTGCAATATTTCAATATCAGACTGGAACCCTTGTATCAACCTTGATATGCCAAACTTTGTTTTTGAGTAATCTCAATTTTTGCAGAAGTCACTCCTAGTGCTGGCTCAATGGTCTGTATACCAAGGCCGTTACCATAGGGTTTCATGAAAGTATTGATTCATAGAACAGAATATGAGATGGTCACCCACTTAGAGTATCCTGCAGAGCTGGAGGCACTTGAGAGGGCTCAACTAATGTATGATTTTAATTTACAAACCCATTTTGTGAATTTTCAGATACATTTATGAAGACAATTACCTGCTCAACTATTACTTGCCCACAACGTGTGCCAGTCTATGCAGTCTTTCTATAAGTACAGTAGTTCTCACTTTAAGTTTGTAATTATTTAGAAATTTGGAAGTTTACAAAGTTATATCCTCTTTAAAAATCATACATTAGTTTGGCCTGAGAATTGCTTTGAACCAGAGCTGCCACACTGCCTCTTACTCCATGGGATATGCAAATGGTAAAAGACAAAAAAACAGTAAGAAAAAAAAGGATCCCTTGGTTGAAGCCACTAAGCTATTTTTTCTAATTGCACCTTTCCTGCATTATACATGGAGTGTGTGAAGTTTAAGTGACAGTTTTCGAGAGTATATTCATCTATGTACATTGATAGAAAACTGTTAATAAAATATCATTATCAGTTTCCCATTTGTCATGTACATTCAGCTTTCAACAATTGTTGCTTTTGTTGACTTATTGTAAATTACAAGGGGTTATGTGATTTTGCAAGTTAATAAAATCCTATTGACTTTGTTAAGATTTGTAATTTATTTCTGATTCTTAACACAAAAAAATCAAACACAAAATATTATCTTCACGCAAACTTACAGATCAAAAAAGAATATCCTATACAATAGGTAAATTAAAGGTCAAGTGTAAAAAAATTCTGTTGAGGAAAGGGTTACAGTTTTATGACTATAGCCCAAAAATTAACGGCGCCTTCGTGAAGAGCTCTTGGACCTGTAACCATAACATTGTATTAAGATTTATTTGAAGTTTGAATTTTCAAATCACACTTACTGAGAGAACCTCACCTTTTCGGACCCTTAACAAAACACCAGTCAACATTGATTTTTTGACCCAGGAAATCTGAGGCATCAAGAGCTTCACGGGCTGCTGCAGCTTCCTTATAGGTTTGAAATTCTACCAAGCAATATCCCTGTCACAATGTGAAGAAACAAATTTAATAATTTCAATTGATTCCTGAAAATGTTTCATCTAGCAGCACAAAGTATATTCAAACAGGATAATAACCTTTAAGAAACCCGTTCTACGATCCAAATTTAAATGAATGTTCTTAATTTCTCCAAACTCAGAGAATTTGTCATGAATATCGTCTTCTTGAGCTTCCTCATGAACAGAGGTCACAAATAGAATCCACCCCTCAACGGCTATTAGAAAAAAGGAAAATTAGTAAATGTTGTACTATATTATAAGTAGCACTGTTAGAATGCAGTTACGACTATTGTCAACAAAAAAAAAAAAAAAAAATTATTCTCAAAACAAGCAAAAGTTAAAAGAAACTCACATCTTTGTGGTCCAGGCTCCCCATCGTCATCTTCAGTTTCCATAGTTTCATAATGGCGAATGTCTTCCCTCGCAGAATTCTCAGGACCAAATCCACGACCCTTGCGCTTGCGAGCTCTACCCTTCATGCGGGCAATGCCCTCTGGAATGAAGAAAATTTTTGATGTATCCAAACCAAGTGGAGAGCATAGACGCAATAGTTATTCCGGAGAATGTCAGGTAATTGAGCAGAGGATTAAAAAGGACAAAACACATGGTTAAAAATGATAAAGGGATGGGAACATTGAAAGGAAAGAATTTCCATTTCAGTCATTTACTTGTTTGTTCCTTTAAAAAGTTTGCACATCTTAACATAGATAACTTAACCTCAAAAGAGTGGCAAAATTAGAACGACAAAAGTCTAGCAAAAAGAAAAATGCAGGGGGAGTAAAAACAGTCTGATTTAAATTAAAGCAGCGTATACATGTTTCCTTGTAGGGCAGGAAGAAAACACAATCTTTGCATCCTCTAGTCTAGGCCGGTCTGACAGGCACCCACAACACAAGCACTTCCTCACTTACCATCACCTTCATCGTCTACTTCAAATTCCTCTGCGTTTTCAATGTCCAAGACGTCTGCCATCTTCGCGACCGTAGGATAAGTAACAATTAACCTGAGGTATTACTCAATTCCCTATGAGAAGTCAAGAAAACAAGTTCAAAACAGTTCAACAATTAAACTTCTTGAACCTCGCTCGCTCGTTGCTCGTTTTGTTGTGAGTGCGCGTGCGCTTGTGTCTGTTCCTTTACATTCAACTTCTACCTTGATCTACTACTTCTTCTTCCTTTGGTTGGTTCTTTCGCACGAGAAGAAAGGCAGAGAGCCGAAAGCGTTGGCCAAAGCTGTCGGAATGGGAGAAAATTACAGAAAGAAATGATGGGAGTCAGTTAATTTATTCATTCCTCCTAGCTAGATTGTTCTGGTCTCTTTTTGGTCACTGACACACCCCCAACGTTGAATGACGTCATACAGCCGACGACAAGCAATAGGTTAAGGTGTTTGTTGTCAAAATAAGATGTTGATGTTGTGTTTTTGTCAAGCATTATCCTAACTTTTTCAATTTAATGGCAGAACACTTCTGAACATATTTAGCTTGACATGAATCTTCATGCAGAGTGTTCAGTGCTGTCATGTTTCTTATAATAATGTGTACTTTCTCAGGAAACTTGTGATATTTGGCAAGCACTGGTAAGCAGCTCTACTTGTACATTTACCATCTGCTCAATTGAACTTTATTATAAATCTGTGATAGTGTTTGTATTTTATTTTGTACATTAGATCATTGATATTTCATTTGAGAAACCTAGACACTTGTCTGCAACTGCTCAGAAAGCAAATCAAATTATCACCAAAAGTACATTTACTCGGTGGATCCCCTCTGCTCTTAAAATGAACCAAGAAACTGCAACTACTTTTCCCTCAAAACCCTTAGTGGCTCCTAGAGTTTTAACTGGACCTGCTAGTCCTTATAACCAGGGAGCTATTGATTGGTGAGTGGCCTCTCTTAAGGTTGCCAGTTTGGATCTTAGAAAACATTTTAAATCTAATTGAACCGTATCTTTTAGGGGAGAAAATGGTTTACTAGCCTACGGCTGCCAATATACTGTTGTAATTGTTGATACAAGAAATGTACAGCCAATACAGTCACTAGACAAGCATAAACATATGGTGAATAGGGTAAGTCCCTTCACTATTGTCCTTTTACAATAAATATAACTTTTTGTTCTTCTCATTTTGATCACTTTTTTTACTTTGAATAGATTTTATGGGGAGTTGGTCAACAGAAAAAACTTGTTTCATCTGATACTAATGGTAATATAATCGTATGGAACATTCCATCTGGAAAAAGCAAATTTTGCCTGCAGGACAGTAAAAGTTCAGCCACAAGTAAGGCAGCTTATCTAAAAATTGTGCAATCTCTGTTCTGTTTAGAGCTTGCTTGAATCTTGCTTGTTTTTTTCCTGTCTAGGCATGGCGTGGCTTACAGGATATGATGAGGGCAATCATCTATTGCTCACTCTTCATCCCCCTTACTCTATTGTTTTGTGGGATACACTTTCAGGGTGTAAAATCTGGAAGAAAACTTACACCGAGTCCCTAGTCGCGTTTGATTTAAATCCCTTTGAGGCGAATAAAATTGCCTGTAAGTCTCTGTTTATTTCTCATGACTTACTTATGGCTTATATTTTAATTCTTTTTAATAATTGTTCTTTTTCTTTTTCAGTTCAATGTACGGACTGTATTCTTTTTGTAACGGATTTATCACCATCAAAAGTACCATCATCCAATGGACGTAAATTTTACATATCTTCACCTAAACAAGGTTCCAACGCGCGTCCATCAAATTCTGGAAACCACCTGTTTGGTGGAGCTGTGGAAGAAAAGAATGGTGCAAGAGATCGCCTTCGTAGGCTTATGAGGGATTTGGTTGTTGGTGAAGTGAAACCCAAGTATGTTTTAGAAACCATCACTTCACATCACATTACAGGAATGAAACTACTGTCGTTAATCTGTATATCTCATACTCCTTTCAGAGCTGAAGAATCGGTCCAAGTCAGTGAATGTTTACAAGTTATACATCACCAAGCCATCAGAAATCTTCTTCTCCTAGTATACTCATCAGAAATTCTCATTCTTGATTTACACATAAACCAGACAGTCAGCCTAATTCCATTTGAACGTTCTACTTCCCCTCTTCTCCAGGTATGTTTTACTTAAAATCTGAACTGATTGAAATAGAAGCTTCATCTAATTTGATAATTGTTTTCTATAGGTTGTGTCTGCCAGACAACGGAATGTGCTATACTGCTTGCATGAATCAGGTAGTGTTTCAGTAAGATTTCACAGACAACAGCCTCAGTTTCTTGGATCACCTCTTGATGCACCAGGTTCATCAAATAGCTTAGGTCAGTACCCATTTATCTTTACTTCATAGACTTCTTTACTGTAACTTTTTATATAATTTATGTGCCACTAAAATTTTTTGTTTTAAGATACATCTATATTACTAAGTTTTGATGCATGTGAGGGGCTTTTTGTACAACCGAGTCTGGTGGTTCTTCTGGAGTGCTTTCTGCCACATCTAATAATTTGTGGATTTTTATTTTAGCTGACATGGCGATTGGTGGAGATTTTCTAGATGTTACTTATGAGCAAAAGTGCCAAAGTGAAATAATTAGGCAGACCAAAGGATCTAAGATTATTGGTATTGCTCTCAGTCGTAAGTGTGAGAAACGAGTAGGTAAGATATGAGCATTTATATTTTTAATTTTTGAATGGAAATCTTATATATTAAAAGTCTTGTATATTTCCTTTTCCTTAAAATTTTCAGCTTTATTTATTAACACTGGAAAGATAGTCTTTCTTGAACTTCAAACTTCTAATGTGGGCGCTGCGTGGTATGCCAATTTGCTCCTCAATTCGTCAGGGCTGCATCCCAGCTGGCCAAAAGAAACTCTGGCGGACCTTGTGCCTCCACTTAATAGCGTAAGAACTATGATTATCTTTCTTTATTTCTTCTTCTCCTCCCTACCTCTATGGCCTTTCCCTTTACATTAGTGGTTAAAAATGCATATTACATCTCAAATGTTTTTTTTCTTTCCCAAAAAGGATGCAGTAGTTGGTCCAGTTCGCCTTCTACTGATGGGTCTGTTACATTCGATCACCAGCCCCCTAACTGCGGTGAGAATGAGCCACTCAACATTGTCTGGAAAAAATGGGAAGAATCACTCCCTTCAAGGACCACTCCTTGCTGTCGGCACCTCCAATGGACTTGTTCAAATAGTCAATGTTGCAACTGGAACTATTGAAAAGGAAGTTGCCATTAGTTCATACCCTATCAGGTATGTCGTTTATTTACCACAGTAACAGTCACATTATGTGTACTTTAGACTGACGCTTACATTTCTGTCATCAGGGGTATTGAGTGGGTCAACCAGCACTCTATTTTGACATGGAGCTACCCTAATTCTAGCCCTAGTAGTAATTTAGTGCGAAATGAATTACGCCTCACAAACATCATGACTGGATATATTCAACAAGTGCGCCAAGATCGTGGTGATGAAGCAGCTGTTGAAATTGTTCGTGTCTCTCCACTGAGGTAACTCACACTCCAATGGCAGATTTTTTTAAAAATCTTCAGTAATCTGTAGTTGGCAAGTTCTAGTATGCAATAGATTAAAGACCTTTCTTAAAAATTGTTTCTTGCAGGTCTTATTTTGCTGTAGCACAGAAAGATGCTACAGTTGAAGTATGGGACATGCAAAATCTTAATTTGCTGTGGACACTTACTAAGAAATTTCCAGGAGTTTCTGCATTGGTGAGTAATTTCTGAGTATTTCATCATTTATACAATTTGAAATACAGTCAAACGTGGTTTTAGTATACCTTGTCAGAAAACACCATAAACAGATTCATTTGTATAGAAAATCAAAATTTGGGAATCAGTATGTTTACAGGAAAAAAAAAAAAACAAACACTAATACTGGGTTTCACTGTATCAGAGGCTTTCAGACAATTATTGATACTATGGGGCTTTGAAAACATTTCAGGAATGGATGAGTCCATATAACAAGAGAGGATCAAGAAAGAAATCTTCATCAGCTGATAAGGAGAGTAGAAGAGCCAGTGTAGTCTCTTCGCCTACAACCCCAGGTAAACAAATCTTTTCGTTTCAAGAGAATACTTATTGCCTGTTTCACTATTAATTTTTAAAGATCTCTTTCATACAGAGGAAGTTCAGGCTTTTGGCTCTACTACAAATGTTGCAGTAGAAGTTGATACTGAGGAAGGCAAACAAACTGATGTTATTAGTGAGCAATTTGCTCTTGCTGATACAGAATGTAATTTTTATTATTATGTCGTTGAAGGGAATGTAGCAAAAGACAGTGCAAAAATTATCCAAGAGGTATCAATATTATGAATCTAACTTTGTTTTTACTTATAATTATCACTCTGTTGTAATCATTATTGAAAATTTCACAATTTATTTTTCAATAGGCTGGAAAAGCTCCCATTTCATGTTTAGCCCACAAGGGTGAACTAATTGCTCAGGGAGATACTGAGGGTAACCTCCATTTCTATTATTTAAAAGCAAGGAAGCATACAGTTATTCCAACAAGTGGTGGTGCTATAAAAAAAATGCATTTTGCACCAGGCGAAGGAAATATGAAACTCCTTGTTCTTTATAATGATGGTGTACTCCTTTTACATTTGGGTGAAGTTAGTTGTATTCTTGTTAATCCATCCTTCTCTTTTGTTAACCATTTTTATAAAGATGCTGACTCATTACTACCTCTTTCCTGGTCTTACAGAGCTTTAAGCGGGTTGAATTGAAATGCCCCAAAGATATGGTGACTGTGCTTGATATAGACTGGGCTAGTGAAGATTGCCCTCTCCTTTTGAGTCAAGATGGATGCATTCGAATCATGGATTCGAACTTCAAAGAAAGTTCGTCTTCAATAAATGACTATGAATTTCAGGGTCAGTTTTGATTTTATTCTATATATGTATTATTTGATCGTGTACCATAGACAAAACTTAATTACAACTATAATTTCTGCTGCTTCTAGATCGAATTTACTGTGTAGCCCTCCTTCCAAAGAACGTGCGCAGAAATCTAGAAATTATTCTTGCTACCCGATATTGGGAAAAGGATGAAGAGGCTAACATGAGTACTGCCCCAAAAGCTTGGGAGTATTTGACATCTGAAGATGGTTTTACAGAGCCTGAACTAAGAGGTACACTCATAAGATTATTTTATCTTTTTTCCCCATTTTAAAATATAAGAAATGGAATTACATGTGTGTGTGTGTGTGTTTGTTGTAGTGATTGGTGATCAACTTAGACAGATGGATCAACCTGCACTTTCTCTTCTTTCGATGCAAGATGCAACTATGGGTGTAGCAGAACGAAGTCTCCTTGTAGCAAAGCTTTTTGGTGAACAGTTTGATGTTGATTTTTGGACTATTGCCCTGTACTACTTACGAGTGGCTCAGGCAGACCAAAAACAAAGGTTTGAAACTTAATAATATTGCATCTTTTCTCTGTACTGGGTATCATGTAATTAGTGTGATGTATTGTTACTGCTTTGTTTCAGGTTGAGCGAGTCAGACTTTTCACTTTGTGACTTTACTAATTTAGCAATGGAATCACCATCCTCAACTAGTTCTCAGAACCCCAAAATTCGATTAAACATTTTACCTTTAGATTCTCATTATGATTATTTATGTGATTCATACTCCTATAAGGTACAAATGTATTTGAATTTCTGTTAATACCAATACGCTTAAAATCAGTAATCCCTATTCATTTTCTCTTTTATAAACCTTTTGATATTAATTTCAGCGACAGCAAATGGATCGTGTTGTGTCATATGAAAGCAAGAGAGGTGATGAGGAACACACCAAAAAAGTTATTCAAGAACTTATACTTCTTGGGGAGACAGATCGTGCTGTTCAGCTCTTACTCGAAACGGAACTTGAGAATCCTAATTATTACACAGATGCAATTAAGTAAGAATTATTCATTATTTACTTCTACTACTACTACTGTACTGGTGCTTACTTCATTACATGAATGAAAATCATAATCAAGTCAAGAGTAGAAGGAATCTGAATTTCAAATGATTCATTCAATTTTTTTTTGTTCATTCTTTTTAAGAGCTTGCCTTGTGGCCACCATACAGTCTACAGGTGCTGCGCAGAGCACTATCAAGCTTGTAGCAACAAACCTAATTGCAAATGGAAACATATGGGAAGGTGATGAACCACATTATTATTCAGTGTTGCACAAACGTGTTCTTCAGTATTAGTAATGACTTTGTTTTCTTCTTTGCCAGGTGTTCAATTACTTTGCCTGATTGGTAAAGGTCTAGATGCTTGCCGCTACCTTCTCTCTTACAACTTATGGGACTCTGCTGTATGGCTGGCCAAAGCTGTGTTACCGTCTTCAGAAATGCATGAAGTTATGAGAAAATATGCTGATCATCTCTTCGCCACAGGTCACAGGGTATGTTGGTACTTACTGTTTTGTAACATTCGATGATGAGGTTTGTAAAGTGACATTACCATGCATTATTTTTGTTTTCACAGAATGAAGCCATACTGGTGATTCTGTCCATGGGCAGTTTTGAACGACTTCTTGAAGCTTTAGGAGGTTTTCGCTTACACAAACATGCAGGACTGTTCCTTCAGGCATGTCGTGAATTTGGTCTACTCCCACAAAGGAAATATATGGAACCAGCATCTCCTCAAACTACTCTTTTGACTGCAGTAGAGCTTGACTTTGCAAGGTGTTTATTTGATGCTGGAAATCATCATGCTGCTTTGTTACTTTGTAAGCGCCTTGGGGAAAGTGGAAATGAGCTACGACGTGAATTTGAGATTCTTGCAGAAGAGGTTATATAGCATAGGTTTTTAATAGAAGTGAATCCTCTCTGGTTTGAGTGATTCACTTCCCTGTGAACTTCACTGGCTCCTCGATTTTGTTTGACAGATTAAAAAAAAGAAAGGAATCAATAAGGGGCTCAGAATTCTCATTTTGTGTTGGTAACTTTATTACTACGGGATGATCAACAAGAAATGAGACAGTGAGGAACACAGGATTTGTAACAGTGATGGTTTCACTGTTACATACAGTACATGCTAAAATTCAATTGCTGCAGATTGCAGTTAGCTTTTCTATATGTACAGAGTGCATGAAGTTTTGGTTGTAAACTTACAGTAAATGTATGAATATACATTTATAAACACAGATCCAATAATATATTTTTATAATTTGTGATATTTACCATCTTTTTGTACAGTATTGAATGAGGTACATAATAGTGTGACTATTCGAGCCAATCAGTCTTTTAGACATAGTGGGATTCTTTGACATGTACCAGCTGTATAATTCTTTCACATTTGTTTGTACTGGTTTGCACTGTGTTGTGACAGGCCATCTTGCATGTCACAGAGCTGCTTTTTTGTTATAGTTTTTTTTTTTTAAGAGAAATCGTCTTAAATTTAAAGAGATTTGAATTTGTACTAATCAGTGACCTGTGATCAGTTGAACAGTCAATTTAGGTAGGGAAATATTATAGCGCTGTACTTATAATTAAGAGATAGCACTGAAAGAGGACTGGAGTAAGTCACTAGAAAACTAAGTTTATTGTAAGACATTCCTGATATATGTTTACTATCACTTGTGATATTGTTATTTTGAAGTTAATGCTATTAATAGTTATGTCTGTTGATATGTTTTGTTTTTCATGCTGATATTGAGAATTTAGGATTGATAATGGGTAGATTTTAAAGTTTCCTTTTTATTTGATTTTTTATGGTTTTTAAGCAATATACTGTGTTTCCTCTATGAGGAGGAAAACTGAAATGTATTTTGTCTGGTAGTTTTGCGCCTTTAAAGAGAATCACAGTTACTATCTTTTACAACTATTGTAAAATAGCTTTAAATCAAAATTTCTGCTCCTTGCGCCTGTTAAAAAGTTTACTTTTATTGCTAATAGCTAGAAATATTGGTCCCCTGAACTTTGTTCCTTCATTTTTGCTTTCATTATTTTATTGCAATATATGAATTAATTGTAACATTTCCTTTAATAGAGCTCTGCACATTCCCTGAACACCTTGAGGGCATCTTGCATTTTGTTATTCCCACTTTTGACCTTAACAGATATGATTATTAGTCAGCTTGGGAAGCCCTTTACATGTGTGTTCTTATGCGACTCTTAAGAATGACGCACTGGTCATCTATTAAATAAAACTGACTCCAATATAAATAAACATGGATTTGAAAAAAAAAACAACATATTTGTGGCCATTTAAACAACAACGCGTCATGTTTTCAACCATGATAATTTTGACGGGCGCCTTGAGCCGTACCTGCCGACCCTAGCCCAAGCAGACCCCTGCTGCTCAGTGGTCAGTAGTCGCTCCTCCTCTCTCTTCCTCTCCCTCTCTCTCTCTCCGCCGCCCGGCCCGGCCGGGCCCGGTCGGGTCGGCCGCGGGGCCCGCCACCACCGCGCCCGCACCCGCGCCCGCCGCAGTCTGCACAGAGAGGCCCCGCGGGCGCGAACACGGCACCGCGACCGCGAGTCGACCAGTCGTATCTAATCTGGCGATACCTGAGCGCCACGCAGCATGGCGCAGTGCACGCTCGCCACGCTCGGCCTGCTGCACCCGCTCCGCACCGCCATGACGCTGCCCCTGCTGCTGATGCTGCTGCTGGCCGCCTGCAGTGAGTACGCCCGCCCCAGGCCCGGCCGCGGCCGGGGGCGACGCGGGAGGAACGTCAGAATGGTGGCAATATAATGTGACTGGAGTGCGTCGGACGGGTCATGTTTACATCATTTTGACGTTCCACCTGAACGGCCGCGCAGCAGTGCCTGGCGGTGCGGCTGCAGCAGACTCTTCTTGTGGTGGCCCGCAGGTGGTGGCCACGGGCTCCACGACGAGGAGGAGCTGCCGCCGTACCACTTCCCCACCGGCCCGACCATCGGGCAGCTGCGCGTCCAGGCCAACGCCACGACGGCGGCGGTCACGGCGGCGGCCTCCGCCGGGAGCAGCAGCAGCAGCACGCCGTCGTCCAACGTCACCGTCGTCTCCGCGACGCTCGCCGCCGGTAACGCGTCCGCCGCCGCCGCCGCCACCATCAGCACGCCGACGACGGCAGCGGTGAACGGGACGACGACGACCCCTTCCAAGGCAAAGCCGGCCAGGACGACGCCGGCGTCCTCCGCCTCGGGCGCCACCCTCCGGCCGTTCGTCGAGCCCACCAAGTCGGCCGCCGTCCTGGTCGGGGTGTTCGTGTCGCTCGCGCTGCTCGGCTACCTGGGGCTCATGGTGTGGAGGCGGGTCTTGGAGTGAGTATACGCCTGGCCAGTGTAGTAGCGCGGCCCGCTGCTCCCCGGTAGCCGCTGGAATGCCGGCCCGGCCCGGAGCGGCCCCGCCGCGCCGCGCTAACGGCCCAATTCTGTAATATCTATGAATTGGTCCGGATGGCCTCGCCTCGCCCCGCCCCGCCCTAGGGCTGCTCCGCCGGCACGTCGTCGCCAGCCCCAAATTCCAGACTACACTCTCACTCTGTGAGAAGTCACGCCCCCGAGCCCGAGCGGAACCGCGTGGGGCCCGCCGTCATATGGAACCCTCACATTTTGGGTCTCCCATCCGTCAGGGGAGTGCAGCCGAGTGCACGCGGCCCGCCAGTCCTAAGATTGGACCGAGCGTGGGTTCACCATCGACCTGGTGGATTTTCCCAGAAAGTACGTCCGTTTTCATTTCTGCAAATTTTTTACGGCCGGGGCTCGGCGCCTGCGAGACTTGGGGTAGGCCACCCCGCAGCACACGCGTGCATCGCAGGCGCGGTGTTGCCTACCCCTCAGGCGCTACGGGGAGCTCTCGCGCAGAGGCGCGCGCGCGCACGCTGAGAACTTTGAGACCGCGTTTCGTAACGGCGAATGACGGACGTATTTTCTAAGGTGATCCCTATGGATACCGCACACGCGTGAACTTTTGGTAGTGTGTCCCGTTGGAGCTTGGTGTGCGAGAGGAAGAGTAGGAGAGAGGAGCCCAACTTGTACCCCCCCTCTTGTTAACTAAGGACTTGCTCATCCACCACCCACGCCTTATTAGACTGCCATTCACCGCGCTGCCTTACGGCCTCCCGAGCGAGTAGGCAACCGGCCCACCCAACCACCAAACGAGACGATCAAAATACACGTCTACTATTTGGTTACATTTTAACCTTTTTTCCCCTTTCTTGGACCGTCGTTTTGCAGGAGGCGTTATGGCAATCGGGAAATTCTCATCAACGAGGAGCAGTTTGATCACGAGCGAGATCTCGGCAACTTCCAGGTAAGAGCGAGAGAAGGGCGGAGGGAGATGGGGGCGGGGGGCTCAAACCGAGAGTGTTGTTATTGGAATTGGAGCTCCCACTGACGTCAGTGTACACGCTCTGCTCACTCCCGTGTCGCCGCACGACGGAACGGCGATGGCGTCGTGTCGGGAACATGCCGAAGTTTCAGATAAACGAGTGAAACACGAATATGTAATTAAACCACCCGGACACCGCCGTCCACCTCATCGCTTCCTTCCGCAGACGTCAGCTGCTGCTGCTGAAGCCGGATGAGCTGGACCTCCAACGGGATCGAATCCCCCCCCCCCCCCCCTCCGCGTAAGCTGACGCGCGCAAAAGTTACAGGGGGCCCATAAAAAATGTCGACCAAGAAACTGGTCGACGACGCCCAACAGTCTAATGACCGATGATGGCCAACGTGCCAAAAAATATTCCCTTTAAATTCAAGAAAAAGCAAAGCAGTGGTAATTGCGAGATTTGACCCCTTTGATTTGACCCCTTTGATTTGACCCAACTTCGATCAGCGGTTTCGTGAAATTGATGTGGTTTTGATTGGTCGCCGTCGCTATGCTGCTGGCACTGGGGCGACGTGAATCATGCCCGAGGTCCTTTCTTCTGTCTCGTTGTCGTCGGCGCGCTCCCATATTGCGCCTTGCACACGCGTTCACTTAGAGGAGCAGTGAGGAATATTTATCCCCCACTCCTCAAACAGCTCGCGCGCTCATTTTTCACCTGTGTTTTTTATACTTTTTTTTTGAAAGATTGCTCAATAGCCGTACGTGAGCGCAAACAGCCGCTCGTATGAATGACGCATTCCTTCTGTTTGATAGTTGTGAGCTGCAGCGCCCGAGCTGCTGCTTCTGCCGCCACTACACACTGCCTGAGGACGCGGCAGCATTCAGCGTCCCCCGCTGCAAGGTCCGCACCTACCGCAGATCAACGGAGAGACCCGCGTACGCGCAAGCGAAGGGAAGCTGCTTCAGCAGAGGGGGAATCCCTCCCGCAGCGCCCAGCCCGGCTTTTGAGCCCCCCGGCCGCCCGGCCCGGCGCCCGCAGCCAGGCAGCCCCGTGCGGCGGGGTGTCGGGCGGGTCGGCCTGCCGTCCAGGAGGGGGACCCCAACAGGACTGTGATATACCCGAACACTCACTTGAGGCGAGGAGGCAATACCGCGGGGGCCTCCGCGTCCAGTGCGAAAATAAGAAACTTGTACTCTACTTGTGAGACACAGGGAGAGACGAGAGAGAGAGGAGAGTTGGAAAACGAACAAAGAGAGAAATAAAATCCAACAGTAACATTTATTGTCCAGCGCATCATGAAGAGCTCAGCTTGTAACATCCCTTTCATCATTTAGCGGAAGTTGAATTATGAGACAACGTAAATAATAAGAGCATTCAATGCCATGTAGTAACGCACAGCGCTAAAAACAAGGAATCGTAAAAACTGTTATGTGGGAATTTATCTATCTCTCTAGGCTGTTGAGAACTGATGAGATCAATTACACGAGCATGTAATAAACAAATCTAAAAGAAATATACTTCAAAAATGCAATCACATTGAGAGAGGGACCTTCCTAAAATTTCAAGTAAGAGTATATCCATCACTTTATCAACCGGTTCAAAAAAGACCTAGTTTGGCACTAAAAAGCAGCTATTGTTTTCTTACTTCTTTTTCTTCACGACGAGAGGACCAACATTGTCACCAGTAGTTTCATTGTGCTCATTGTGAGAACCATCACATTTAGGGAACTGTTAAAAAGTTCAATAAAAAGAGAAACAATTAGCCTATAATTTAGATAGATGAGAAGTAATTGTCTGACTAATTTGGTCCACTTACGGATTTGCTCTTCCAGCAGCGACAGAATGCTGAGGTCTCGCCTAGATCTTCTACATCCACGGAGTGGACAACTTTAGGGTTGCTTTTCTCAATCTTTTCATTGAGGTGAATCTATACAGAAAAATTTATGATCATACAAGACTTAGAATACAAACTGTTAATGAATGAATGTCACATATGCAAATACACACCTTACAAACACGTCCACATGGGCAAAATGCAAGGTATGACATGTATGTTAATCCACCAATGACAGCACCCAGCGGCACCAGGGATGCCCAATCACGGACTGTAACAGAATTAGGATTATTCAACTGGTACTAATCTAAAACATATTACAAGACACTTCGTACAAGCACCTATCAGTTTGCAATTGACATGCATTCATAACAAAATTTTGCCAGTCAGCTGGTACCCTAAACATCAAGAGCCAGGCCTAGCTTGTAAGGTCACTTGGGTTAGCGACCTCCGCAATCTCGACACGCACGGGGGACCTGATCGTCTACACAACAGAACTGCCAATTTCTACTTACATCCAAGTTTGAACCAGCCCCCGATGGACTTGGGCACGGGGAGGCTGGAGAGGTAGTTGGGGATGTTCTGAGTGACCAGGTTCGACATGACCTCCATTGTGATGACTATGGTACGATGACGATCGAGTCTGAAGTGCCGACAGGACACGAAGACCTGAAGATGAGGAGGAAACGCCCTGCTTCACTCAAACTCTGCAGAGAAGTCGGGGTGCCACCGGCGTGCTCGGACGGAAAAGTGCTTCTTCTTTGACCACTCACTTTCACACAACCACTGTCTCCAGCAGCAGCAGCCGAGAAGCTGAAGCTGCTCGATTTCAGAACTTCGTCTGTTGCCAACAACACGGTAACAGAAGGCTCATCTGCGTGCTTTCCCGACGCGTGTTTCGAAGTGTTTGAGGTAGTTAAAAAGTTTAGGAAGGCTATTATAAAAGACTGCGACACGCATTTTTAACTTGACTTTTCCTCGTTTGTTTTAAGATCACCATGTTTTCCTTAATTGCAGGTGGCAAACTTGTCGTAAACAGATGAATGACGGTAAATACAATTCTGCTGGAGAAGTCGGGGGTCAAGTTGCGGTGTTGTTTGTGCGTTGAGCAACCGAAAACTCTGCCGGTTTGAGTATTTGTGCTGAATTAGAGACGCCTTTGATTTGGGTCAAATTAATTTTAGTACCGTTGAAGAAAATCCACAACTTTTTTCACCATGCCGCGAATCATGATCAAAGGAGGAGTATGGAGGAATACGGAGGTAAATAGGGTTATGTCTGCATTTTTGGTTAAATCTAGTTTCTTTAATTCTGAACAATTTAAACCTCGATTTGTTTTGTTTGTCCCAGGATGAAATTCTTAAAGCAGCTGTTATGAAATATGGCAAAAATCAATGGTCTCGTATAGCTTCCTTACTTCATAGAAAGTCAGCAAAACAGTGTAAGGCCCGTTGGTTTGAGTGGTTGGACCCTAGTATTAAAAAGACTGAATGGAGCAGAGAAGAAGATGAAAAGTTACTCCACCTGGCAAAGTTGATGCCAACTCAGTGGAGAACAATTGCCCCAATTATTGGCCGAACAGCTGCCCAGTGCTTGGAAAGATACGAATACCTTCTGTAAGTTTCCTCAATTGCATGAAACTTCCTTGTCTCACTCCCTCTTACTACTATTACACTGTTCATATCATTGTATGTGTTTTAACAGAGATCAGGCACAAAAGAAAGAAGATGGGGACGAAACTGAAGATCCTCGAAAGCTCAAGCCAGGGGAAATTGATCCAAATCCTGAAACCAAGCCAGCTCGTCCTGATCCAAAGGATATGGATGAAGATGGTTAGTATCAACTTAAATTTGACACGGGACCACCTTCTGATTTGATTCATTCATTATAGTTTGATTTCTTTCACTTTAGAACTGGAAATGCTTTCTGAGGCAAGAGCTCGTCTTGCCAACACACAGGGCAAAAAAGCAAAGCGCAAGGCCCGTGAAAAGCAGTTAGAAGAAGCAAGGAGACTCGCTGCATTGCAGGTACATGTTTGATCATTTGCTTTCCTCCCAACCTGTGCTTACAATATGTCAGAAATGTAAAATTTTGTACTATTTGTATGGTAACAGAAACGGCGTGAGCTTCGAGCTGCTGGAATAAAATTGGCACCAAGGCATCGCAAAAAGCGTGGTGTTGATTACAATCGTGAAATTCCATTTGAAAAGAAACCAGCACAGGGTTTCTATGACACCTCTGAAGAAGTTGTTGATCCCATGGCACCTAATTTTGGCCGTCTCAGACAACAACATTTGGATGGTGACCTGCGATCTGAGAAAGAAGAGGTAACTT